AAAAGTTTCATACAAAAATCATGTCAAATTTTGCAAGACACATTTTTTTTCAACATTTTTTCGTCTGAAAAAAATTGACATGTTTTTTACATGAAACTTTTTTTTGCGATTTTTTTGGTCGTTATTAAGATAATATGTCGATATGTTAATAAACATATTGGCCGTTATTATTATGTTATGTTGGACCAAATATACCGCCGTTATTATTATGTTATTAAGTATAGTTAATAATATGTTATTGCCCGTAAATCTGTAGTTGCTATCAGTGTATGAGCTAGAAATATGAAGCTATAAAACTATTATGAATGTCAGTTTTTCTTTCAACTTATGACCAAATTTAACCAAAATATGAACAAAAATTAATTTTCGTGGATTCGTTGCGGGCATTTCAATTACCTGGAAATTCAATAACCACATCACACAACGTTGGTATTTTGTTCAACCATAAGCGACGTGGTGTCATTAAATGGCCAGCATAAGGTACTCGACGTCGTATTTGTCTGGAAGCTAAAATGGAATAGAAAAAACGGAAGAAATCGATAAAAATTGTGCTTGATATTGGGGTCGAAACCTCATAAAATCATGAATATTTATTTATTCTATAAAAATACTATTATTTAAGTGTAGTTTGGCTTAATCATCCTCTTCCATAGCTTGCCACTTGAGCAGGAAAAATGAATCGATGGTAATTCTTCTGCACAATCCCGAAATGCGCCTTGTTGAAAAACATGAACTTTTTTTTGCCGAATTGAGTCGGAACAGAATTATGTCTGCTCGAAATGCGAACCCACTCGAAACAATACGTGTAGAAAATCGATGTCGTTTCCTTCCTTCCAAAATGAGCACTTAGTCATGGGTTCTCTCGTTGCTCGTTAAAAAGTGAAAATACACAGACACACCGAGCCCACAATTGTTGCTAGTTGTTACATTGAAACAAGTGCCTTCTTCTTATCATACACTCAAGAACAATTGCAGAACGAGAGAGAAACTTAACATTGAACATACATATTCGTCTCGAATGTGAACAACAAGCCTCGCCACAATTCCGTCTTCAAGCTGCAAATGCAAATTAATATGCAACAGATAATGGCATCGAAGCGAATGCGATGCACGATAGATTGCATGTTTTTTTCGCTCCATATTTATGAGCGTTGCAAAGTCGTTCATTATGCACTTAATTTTCCCAATAGATCAATGGAATTACTTTTAAAGACAATTAATCACGTCAAGGACGCGCATGAGGATATTTACGATGACGATGCAAAGAAAGTGAACGTGGCAATAGCCGTGACATATAACAAAACTCGATATTGTTTTGTATGAACAGCTTGTTGCGGTTGTGTGTATGTGCGGCGTGTGGGTGTGTGCATGATGATGGCGCGTACAAACCGAACTGATTTAAAAGTGAATGCGTTATGAAGTGTGCTGACGATGAGAATGTAACATCTGTGGCTTTATCATTTGTCGGAAAAGATAGTCAATATTCGTGCATTGTCCACAGCAAATCTTGCTTCGAACATCCACTTAAGCAAAACGTAATCCAATGACAAAACAAAACCGATTTGCTTCGTCACGTTCTGCACAGCATTTGGCTTCTATTCATATTCGAAATAGCATTACATAATACGAGGGCCGATTTCAATTCCATTGAATCTTATAACTTTTGTCACCTTTTCAACTCTGAATCTCACTCTTCGCTCTTGATTTTGATCAACAAACAAAATATGAAAACACTTTGATTTTCCACTTGATATGAAATGTGATGCTATGGGGCAAAAAAAAACACACAATTTCCATGAACACGTTCGATAAATATTAAACAGAAGCTTCGAGCAAGCATGCGGAAGACCCGGAATCATATGCACTCCGGCTGCATTCGAAATTAATCTTTGAACAGACAAACCACTCGAACAATGAAAATTCAGTGGTTGAAAACCAAATGCAGACCCTGAACTAATGAGATTCGGGAGTTTTCATGGTTTGATGCGGGGATGTTTCAACAGCAAATCATGTGCTCTTTTGACATTCATTATCCATTCCAAGTGGTTCAACATGATTTCAAACATTCCCAAATGAATCCTATGCAAAAATTGTACAGCGATGTGCAAAAAACGATGTGCAAAAAAAAACAACAACAGAAAACAAACTAATTTTGTTTCGAATTAATAGAACACGGACATATCCAACAAAACGCTTGAAAATGTCTTCCGGGATAGTAAATTCACCATTAATTACACGCTACATAACGATCGCATTCATTTCGTTGTGCCCGAACACTGAATGTTTCATGAGCGTGTCATCATCTTTCTTCAGATAGCAATTTGTCATACCGAACATCCAAATGGTATGTATTGTCTGTATGTGTGAATTGGACGTCGAGTAGAATAGATATATATATATATGCGGATGAGTGTGTGTGTGCATGAGCTCTGTAGGCTATTATTCCGTCGAAAACAATAGATATAACAACAAAAACTCATCTTCCTCCCTTGCGCTCTCCGTCTATCTGCCTTCGAATCCATTTTCTGCTTTCGCTTTCTAAATTCATTCTCTTCATTATTCATGAAGATTTCTACCATTTCCTTGGTTTGCATGACGTTGATGCAAATTATTTTGTATCAAGCACGCAATTTCCTTGCATGAATTTCAAATTGTGTCAATTTTCTGTCGAGCATGCAGCTCCGGTTCGTTTTACTCGAATGCACGAAAAAGGAGCGTATGTAAAATTCCCACTCTGTGACTGTTTACAGATGAAAACGCTTCACTTTTGATTGTATTTTTCTCTTCTACTCCTTCTTCTTAAAAAATATAAAAAAAGAGTGTATGAACATCTTTCCACAAACTTGATTATGGTCGCATTTCTAATGTGAATAAAATCTCTCTCTCTCTCTCTCTCTCTCTCTCTCTCTCTCTCTCTCTCTCTCTCTCTCTCTGTGGCAACGTGGGCACTTGCGAAGTGTAAACTCATTTGCGCTTGAAAGCTCGTTAAAGTTGCCCTCTTTTATACTCTATACATTTCTTCGAGTGTAGTCGACTCGACTCGACTCAACTCGTGTCGGTTTTACAAAATTCCATGCACCGCATACGGAAAATAGTGTGTAAACCATCAAATCAAAATGTCACTTGCGACCTCCAGAATGGTGTTGACTGAGTCGGCTAAAGAAATTTAATTTACTCCAAATTTGAATGGAAAATTCAATGGTTTGAATGAAATGTGAATAAACATCATTTTGGGTGAAATTCCGGGGGATCATATTTATGTCACACGCTGTAACACATCTGTATGCAAATGTTTCCGTTCAAAGTTCACTGTGAAGTGCGGTGAGAAGGTTACAGCTGTTGTAAGCTAGGATAACGTTTAAATGTAGCTAAAAATAGAACATTTGACATCGGAGCATGGAAAAAAAGAAGTTGGTCGTTGATGGAGTTTCTGGCTTTTCTGCTTGATGGCACAATGCAAAGCGAGAGAAAGTGAAAGAGACATAATTCGGTGCTTAGATGTCAAAAGTCAAGAAAGTAAAAGACTTTATCATCAAATAAATAGGAACATAATTAATCGACACACAAATTCTTGTCTGCTCATCATTTCAATAGCAAAGCGACGAAGGACGAGAGAGAAAAAACCCATCAAACCTTATGTTTCACATGAAATACAAGAGAAGATAAATTTCTACTCAGAAATCTCCGCACGAAATCCACTTCATTACATGAACCGACGTTTGATGTCGAATTGGTTGAGCGCAACTAAATATTCATAATATACGGTATGGTATACTCATGAAGGCATTGTGATAGTTTCGTCGATGAGATGGCTTTCATGTGATTTGGTTTGACTTTTTCCGATTCCTTTATGGATTACGCTTGCTTTTTATGAGGATATCAGCATATATTATTTTGTGGTTTTGTCGTACGTACATGTGTTCCACCGACGCATTTTCCACATGACGAATAAAACATAAGCTAGAACCTCTTTATCCTTCAATCTTTGAAACAATGACATCAATGTTACCATTTAGCAAATAAACAACATTGCTGCTAACATTTTTGCCCACAAACATACACACCCAACTCCAAATTGGTTCACTCGCATTAAATTACCCAGATGACTTTATTGAGTGACATGTTCAATCAAACGTAAAATTTTAGCACAGAAACAAATCACTTTTATTTGGTAATAGCCGTTTAACGAACAAAATCCGAATGTGATGGAAAATTGAGTATTTATTTGCATTCACCCAACGTACGGGAATTAGTGTCATCTGACGAAAACGAAATGCATGTTTCGTAATTCATGAATAAAAGTAATTAAATTACACTCATTCGTTGCAACATATTTAATCGGATTTTCAGAACGATTTGCACCATTTTCCCCAATTGCAATAAATATGTAATCGTATATAATATGCACATTGAGGTCAGTCAGAACTTTGTAACTCGTTCGCATTCGCCTCCCACATAATAAAATAATGTTCGGATATTCGATCGATTGAATCCAGTCACAAATGAACCAAATATTATTTGATTAAACAATTTGCAATCACAGAACGAATATATGGAAAAGGAAGATGTAGAAAAATTTGCCATTTTTTCTGTCGACAAAAAAGGGAGCAAATGCTCTCGTATAGTTTGAGTGACAACATTGTATTGCGTAATCTCTGATCTAGGTTTTGTTTTGTGGTTCTCTCATCAACGAATCTCCCAAAAATGGTAAATTGATCCGAGTGTGTGTGTGTGTTTGTTTTTGCTTTGTTTGAGCAAATCAAGCTCATGTCAATCGTGAAAAAGCATATATTCCATTGTGAGTTGTTGAGTTAAGGATGACTTGACTCTATACAAACACACACAATATATGACGTGCGTCAAACGAGTCTCAAGTTTCACAAAGCTACGAGTATAAATAGCTTCATTGCGATTTTCAGCATGGGTTTTTTTCCATCGATTTACACATATGGCAATAGGATATTGTACCTCTCTCGCACAAGGATGAAATAACACAAATTCAATACACAACTCAAAAACGTCATATCATACCGTCCGTACGATTGAGAATGAATATCGAAAATCCGCGCGGATAAATGCTGTACAAATGCGATTGAGGAACTAAGACGCTTTTCGAAACATTTTCTTTTTCTTTATCCAGTTGAAACCTTGGTTTGGCATTAAGCACATCGATTTCTCTTTCCCAAAAACGTGTACAAAATGTTATTTTCGACTTTATTCTGGTTTTACTTGTTTACTTTTATTCATGCTCAAATTCGCAGACACATTGTATACGTAGGTTATTGGCAGTCTAATTATACCCACTCAAAGTTTGCACTCATTTTGATAAGTTTAATTGATTCAATATTTTGGCGGTTTTGGTTATGGTTTCGTAAATTCAATCTGAAAGTGGAAAAAGTGAAGCAAAAGCGGTGCTTGAAAAGCGCGTACTTTCATTACATTACCAACACTGTACAACGCTGTACGTGTTCAGAAGACAAAGAAATTTCTCGAAATTGTGAAAATAG